GCCTCTTGAGTAGCTGTGACTATAGACGCACACCACCACACCTGGCTACCCTATGTATGTTTTTTCTTTTCTTTTCTTTTCTTTTTTTTTTTTTTTTTGAGACAGTGTCTTGCACTGTCACCCGGGCTGGAGTGCAATGGCGCGATCTCAGCTCACTGCAACCTCCGCCTCCTGGGTTCAGGCGACTCTCCCACCTCAGCCTCCCAAGTAGCTGGGATTACAGGTGCCTGCCACCACGCCTGGCTAATTTTTTTTTGTATTTTTAGCAGAGACAGGGTTTCACTATGTTGACCAGGCTGGTCTCGAACTCTTGACGTCAAGTGATCCACCTGCCTCAGCCTCCTGAAGTGCTGGGATTACAGGTATGAGCCACCGCACCCGTCCCTTATGCATATTTTTTTTCTAGAGATGAGGTTTCACTGTGTTGCCCAGGACAGTCTTGTACTTCTGGGCTCAAGCAATCCTCCCGCCTTAGCCTCCCAAAGTTCTGTGATTACAGGTGTGAGCCACCACGCCCGTCCTGTATATCACTTCCTATACATTTCTACAAAAGTTGTCAACTTAACACAGTAATAATTTACTAGCTTATAGTTTCTGTGCATCAGGCATCCATGTGCAGCTTAGCTGGGTGCCTCTGGCTCAGATCTCTCAAAAGGCTGCTATCAAGAGGTCAGCTGGGGCTTCAGTCATCTCAAGGGTTGAGTGAGACAGGCTATTTTTCCAAGCTCACCTCACATGGCCATTAGTAGGACTCAGTTTCTCATAGCTGATGGAAGGAGAGCCTCAGTTCCTTGCTGAGTGTTGGTCAGAGGCTTCCCTCAGTTTCTTGCCACATGGGCTTCTCCTTAGGGCAGCTCACATATGACACTGTCTTCCCTCAGAGCAAGTGAAGGAGAGCTAGAAGGAGCAAACAGGATGAAAGCCACAATCTTTTTGTAACCTAACCTAGAAATGACATCCTTTCATTCTTACTGTATTCTATTCATTAGAAGCAAGTTGATGCTCAAGGAGAGGGGATTACACAAGGGGCATGAATACCAGGTGGCAAGGATCATTGGGGGTCACCTTAGAGGCTATCATAGAGATGTAAGCAAAGAATTAAAAAACAAGGTGGTAATATATTTCCTAGCTCTGTCTTGTAAGAGAAGATAAATTCAACAATATCCTGGTCCTGGCATGGTGGCTCACACCTGTAATCCCAGCATTTTGGGACGCCAAGCAAAAGGATCAGTTGAGTCCAGGAGTTTGAGGCCAGCCTAAGCAACACAGCAAGGCCCCATCTCCATAAAAAATAAAATAAAACAATAAATTAAGTGATATCCCAGTAGCAACGAGATCATCCAGTACCTAAGTCTTGGTTTCTAAATACCATTCCAGGACTTCTTGGAGAAATGGCTGATTTTAGGGCTGGGTAAGGAAAAATACAAGATAAGCGCAGAGCATCTTATAGTTCCAGAAAAAAGGAGATAATCAAAAAACAAAAGGAACACATAAACCTAGTTAAAAGAACTCCCAATGACCAAAGCTGAAACAATTGAGTAACAGTATAAAATAAATATACAAGTCTATATGTCTATATAAATAAATGATTGAATATAAATATAAATTAATAAATGAGGAAAGACAAATCTTCCTTTCAGAATTTCAAATAAGGTTTATCAATTGTCCACTCCAGAAGTTGAAGCTTAATCCCCATTCCATTTGAGTATGAGCAGTATTTAGTGACTTGTTTTCAAAGAAAGGAATATGGAAAGTGGGAAAATACAACTTTATAGTGGAGTAACTAGCAAATATTACCATGTGTCAGCCTCACCAGTAATAAGGTAGAGTGATATCATGTATCCTCTGACATAATGTGATGAGAAGGTCATCTCATCATGTGATGTTTTCCCCAAACCCTATAACCACAGTCTAATCATGAGAAAAACATCAGACAAACACAAATCGAGGGACATTTTGCAAAATACCTGACCAGACTTCAAAACTGTCATGGTCATATCAAGGTCATGAAAAACAAGAAAAGACCGAAAAACGGTCACAGGTCAGAGGAGACTAAGGAGGCTTGATGGCTAAATGCAATGTGGCATCTTAGATTAGATCCTGAAACAGAAAAACAACCTTACTAAAACCCAAATGAGGTCTGGAGTTTAGTAAATAGTAATGTACCAATATTTGGCTTTTCAGTTGTTTTGTTTTTTCTTTTTATTTATTTATTTAAAAAAATAGAGATGGGGTCTCCCTTTGTTGCCTAGGCTGGTCTTGAACTCTTGGGCTCAAATGATCCTCCCAGTTTGGCCTCCCAAAGTGTTAGGATTACAGGCGTGAGCCACTATGCCTGGCTGGCTCTTTAGTTTTGTAAGTGTATCATGGTAATGTAAGATGTTAACACTAGGGAAACTGGGTGAGGAGTAGACAGGAACTTTATGTACTCTAACTTTTCTGTAAATCTAAAATAATTCTAAAATAGTTAATTAAAAACAAAAAACAAAGCATCCTGCTGACAGTTTTAGAAGCGTGATGACCAGAAGATCTCCCCTAGATTAGCTTCTGGTTTAGTACATTTCAAACTCTCTCTCTCTCTCTCTCTCTCTCTCTCTCTCTCTCTCTTTTTTCTTTTTTTGAGGCAGAGTCTCGCTCTGTCACCTAGACTGGAGTGTAGAGTGCAGTGGCATGATCTCGGCTCATAGAAACCTCCACCTCCCGCGTTCACGCGATTCTCCTGCCTCAGCCTCCCGAGTAGCTGGGGACAGGCACCCGCCACTATGCTTGGCTAATTTGTGTGTGTGTGTGTGTGTGTGTGTGTGTGTGTATTTTTAGCAGAGACAGGGTTTTCACCATGTTGGTCAGGCTAGTCTCGAACTTCTGACCTCAAATAATCTCCCCGTTTCGGCCTCCCAAAGTGCTGGAATTACAGGCGTGAGTCACAGCGCCCAGCCCCCCCCCCCCCCCCCCCTTTTTTTGTCACCTCCCCCCCCCGGCGCCCCCGCCCGCCTCCCTGGGTCGGAGCTCGCCCCCCCCGCCGCCCCCCCCCCCCGCCGCCCTTGTGTGTGTGTGTGTGTGTGTGTGTGTGTGTATTTTTAGCAGAGACAGGGTTTTCACTATGTTGGCTGTGGCTATCTCAACTTGACCTCAAATAATCTCCCCGTTTCGGCCTCCCAAAGTGCTGGAATTACAGGCGTGAGTCACAGCCACACCAGCCCTCTCTCTCTCTTTTTTTTGAGACAGAAACTGCTGGGTCGCCTAGACTGGAGTGCAACCAGTGGTGCGATTCCACTGACTGCAGCCTCTGCCTCCCGGGTTCATGCAATCCTCCTGCCTCAGCCTCCTGAGTAACTGGAGTTACAAGCACGTGCCACCACACTCAGCTTTTTTGTATTTTTGGTGGAGACGGTGTTTCACCATGTTAGCCAGGCTGGTCTCAAACGCCTGACCTTAAGTGATCCACCTGCCTCAGCCTCCCAAATTGCTGGGATTACAGGCATGCACCACCGCCCCTGGCTTCAAACTTTATCCTCCACTAGCCACATACTTCTAGGGCCAGATGCCAAGGGACACATCCCTGTATCATAGCAGTGAGTGAGATGGCAGAGCATGTCTTGCTTGAAGCCAGTCCAGCACCAGGAAAGCCAGCAGTAACTCATCACGAAGAGGCCCAAGTTCAATTCAACTCTCTTTCCCCCACCCAGATTCCCAAAATGTCCAAGGCCACTCCAGCGTATCTAGCAAGAAAGGAATTATGAAGGAAGGGAAGTTGGAGAGGATAAAAAAAAAAAAAAAGACAGGTCTTAACCAGTACCTCTTTGAGGGGTGCTTTAAGACATTTTCCTTTTAATAAATAAGTAGAAAACAACGTATGATCACGTAAACTCAATGCTAAAGTTCCTCTATGGACTTTGGAAAGGGCTAGCGAAAGTTAGCGTGCCTGAAACACAAGCTTCATTAGTTTAGCAGTAAATACCCTCCAGAAAGATCTCAGAGGAAGAAATGAGTGCTCTTTGACAGAACAGTCACCGTCGCTCCCACCCTTTCAGCTCCAAAGCTCCTACTCTTGCACCCAGTCTCAGACAAGCACTCACTTCTCAGGAAGTATTCCCTGAGACATTATGGAGGCGCCGAGGCTCCCACCTCGATTCCATTATAACATTTGATCACGTATGTTAAGTTTGTGCTTTTGTTTAGTTTGTGTTGTCTCCTCGTCATCATGTAGGCTCACTTAGGGCGTGGCTCAAGGCTTTTACCAACCTTTCTGCTGTCATAGTGGTCCCCCAACAAGCCCTTGTTGAGTAAATGAGTTAATGCTCTGGGTGAAGGAGGAAAGCCCTCACTAGGAAGAGACTTGTGTCATCCAGGGCAAGAACATCAGAGATCCAGTGACAGCCCAGCGACCTCCGGGATCAATTGCAATAGGAGGGTAAGAGAGACAGCCAATCAGCAACAGCCATACAGAAATACGGACAGGTTTCCTGCCCTACATAGGAATCTTTCATCAAGCCTACGCACATTACTATACTGCATAAGTTAGCTATAAATGTAATAATGATATTTTCACGACAATTATTGGAAATCCAGAGTGTCCCAGAGTATTCAAATCTTTAGAAAGCACGTTCCCCAAATGAATCGGACTGAACAGACGCTAGAACTGAACACGGTAAAGTAAAATACTTATCCATGAGGCACTTTGTAACCCCCGCACTCCTGTTCTGCCTAAAGAGAAACATTCCTGATGTGAGGTCCGCACAGGCATTATATCTGCCGGGTGGACACAGGTCCCTACAGCGTGCGGTGAAATGGGCTCCACATGTTAGGTTAACAAAGGCTTACGACTCGCAGCCTCTTTCAAGGTAATACACATCTGCGACTACATTCAGAATGTGGATGTCCCTAAGCCCCTAGAGCATGAAGCTGACAAAAGCACTTCCCAGGGCAGCAAAGTGAAGGCACAAAGCAAGGTCCGCACAAAAGCACACGCCCCTCGCAGAGCTCCGCGCGTGCGCATACCGACTGTGAAACGCCGCAGCCGGCTTGCGGAGCAGTTGCCGCGCCCTCCGCCGGGCTTCTTGTGCCCGCCTCCGAGCCTGAGGAAACAGCTGATTGATCAGCCTGGCTCAGGCTTGGGGCGGGGATTGGCTGATTGGCAGCAACGCCACGGGACAGCCAAGCTGGAAGCCTGAGGAGCCGGAGCGGGTGCTGGCTGCCGCGCGGCGGAGGTGAGTTGGGTGGGAACTCGGCAAAGCGGTTGGCGACGGGGTAATAAAGTCAGCTCCAGGCCTGACGGCCATGGGATGCCCTGGAATCAGGACAGGAGCTGAAGGAGCTCGGTTCGGGAACGCAGGGAGACCGGCGGGATCCTGGGCCGGTTGGGTGTTTGCCCCGCGGCCGGGAGGCAGAGACTGCCTTGGCTGAGGGCGCGTGGGTCCGGGGCTCCGGAGAAGCCGAGGGAGATCGGCTGACTTGCCCTGAAGGCTGAGACTCGCCCACCCGCCTATCTACCCCTATGCCTCTTGCCCCCTCCCCCGACCTTCGGTCCATCTTTCGGACCCCCGTTTCCCGCGGCGGCCGCCAGGCGGCGGTCCTGGGGCGACCGCCCTTCGCGGCGGCTCCCTTGGGGGCTGCGCCCTTCCCGGGCTCGGGAGCCCGACTGCGCGGGTGCACTCAAGCCGGCGTCCGAGAGGAGCACTGCGCTCGGTGGTCTGCCGGAAAGTTTAACCAGCTTCGCGTGGTTGCTGTGTCACTTTTCGCCTCCTAAAACTTACCAGTGTATCTGCTGACCATGACCAGAGTTTGCAGGAAGCCCCAAAGCCGGCCTTTGGGCATTAACAACAACAGCATTTTATTATGGAAATCTTCAAACTGTGAGAAATTGAACAAACGATATAAGGAATTCACTGTACTCATTACCCAGTTTCAGTAATTATCAATACGTGGGCAGTCTTGCTCCCCTAATCGGGGTTATTTTGCGTTTTTGAGACAGGGTCTCTGTCACCCAGGCTGAAGTGCAGTGGCGGGATCTCGACCCACTGCAGTCTCCGCCTCCTGGGCCCCAGCGATCCTCACGCCTCAACCTCCCCGCTAGCTGGGACTACAGGCAGGCGTCACCAAGCCCAGCTAACTTCTCCCCCGCCCCCTGCCCTTTTGTAGAGCTGGGGTCTCCTTATGTTGCTCAGGCTGTCTTTGAACTCCTGGGCTTAAGCGATCCTCCCTCCTTGGCCTCCCAAAGTGTTGGGATTACAGGCAGGAGTCACCGCACCCGGCTACCCTGGGTTATTTTGAAGCAAATCCCAGACATTTTATCATTTCAGTTATTTTATATATTTCTATGCTCTGTCATGATAAATAATCATACGTATAATAACTTGCTTTCTAGAGGGGTCAAGTAAAATAAGGGACATATTAAAGTGTAGACAGTGCTTATTTAGTTTGTACTACCAGCATTTAGGTAACTGCTACAGTGAGTCTCATTATCTTGCGCTCAGGTTTTCAAAATCGGAGTTACCAGATACTCTAGACAGTAGTGCTCTTGCTGTTGAATAGTAATAATTGTATTGATAATTTCTATTTGTAGAGTTCTTAGTATATATGAAGGACTATGAAGTAGTTTCCACTTACTCATTAAATGTTTACAATAACCCTATGAAGTAGGTGTTATTATCCCCGTGTTAGAGTTAGGGGAAAGAAATTTGGAGAGGTCACAATTTTCCTAAAGTCACACTGCTGAAAAAACAGGGGTGGGGGATAGAATTCAGAATGCTAATCTTGGCCTTTGTCATTGCAAAGTTCCTGCTCTTTTAACTGTAACTGAATGTCCTAAGAGTTGTGGAACAAATGGAACTGCTGTGGAAAATTATTTCTGTTAAGCTACAGATCAGTAATGGAAAAAAAAAAGCCTGAAAATTTACACAAATACAAACAATAGTGAGAGAGGTATGTTTGTTCTTTGAAAAGTTAAAGATTATTCAACTAAATTTAATGTCCTGAGAAGACACAATTCAACAAATACAAGTGCTAAAGATTTTATTCTTGGCCAGGTGCATGGCTCAGCCCAGCACTTTGTGAAGGCTGAGGCGAGAGGACTCCTTGAGACCAGGAGTTTGAGACCAGCCTGGGCAATATAGTGTGACACTATTTAAAAAAAAAAGTAAAATAAACATTTTATTCTTTAATATGTGACCAGTTAAAGGGAAAAGGAAAATATGCATCAATGAATAGTGTCTACCACTCCTTTAGCACATAGCTTATATTGGATATTAATACTAAATATTTCATTTGTATCCTTCATCCTCCCAATCTTAAACTACTAAGACAGCGTTTTCCTCCAAATAGTGTTTGATGAATAAGGAATGAGATAGAAACAGTTGGGTCTCCTCTACTTATTCAAAGGACAGTAGAGAAGGCCTATTAGCTTGGAGTTTAGGAATCCTACTGGATAGGAGTAATTCAGAAGTCCAGAAGTCAGGTCAGACTCCTTTGTGAAGGAACTTGAGCGCCACATTTAAAGAGTTTAAACTTAGTGAGCAAAGAAGTGACATGATCAAAGTCATCTTACGAGAAGATAGATACAGGAAGATAGCTGGTACTGTCAAAGGTGGCTTTACCAGCTATGTGAAAGGATTAGCAGTGGGTCGACCTGATAAACATAAAGGAAATAGACATGGGGAACTGGCAAATTTATGGATATGAGGAAAGAACCAGACAAAGAAAACAGCCTGAAAGAGAGAAAAGAGCATGGTATGTAGTAGGATTTTTTTTGTTTTGTTTTGTTTTTTTTGAGATGGAGTTTCACTCTTGTTGCCCAGGCTGCAGTGTAGTGGCGTGATCTTGGCTCACTGCAACCTCTGCCTCCCGGGTTCAAGCGATTCTCCTGCCTCAACCTCCTGAGTAGCTGGGATTACAGGTGTATGCCACCACGCCCAGCTAATTTTGTATTTTTAGTAGAGACAGTTTCACCATGTTGGCCAGGCTGGTCTTGAACTCCTGATCTCAGTTGATCCACCTGCCTTAGCCTTCCAAAGTGCTGGGATTACAGGTGTGAGCCACCATGCCTGGCGTATAGTAGGTTTTGAAGTGATGATACACTTCATTTTCCATGGGTTTGTTTTCTTGGGCCATCCTGGTGATGAGTTGGTGATGAGTTATTACTGTATCACTGTTCTTTGAAGTGGTAATTACCGCCCAGCTACTGAACTATTCTTTTATATACTTATTAGATGCTATTGATAGAAATTACACAATTTAGATAAGCAACAAAAAAAAGACCCTGTAATCCTACCCTTTGAAGATAACCACTGATGATGGAGAAAAGGTGATAACAGTTTTTGTTAACATTTATTTGATTACTGTTCGACATTTTTCACATTTTATTTTCCATCTGTATTTCTGCTTGTAAAATGCCTACTCATGTACTATGCCTATTTTTCCATTGGGCTTTTGATCATTCGTTTCTTTATTTGCAAGCACTTTATATTCATTAGGGATATACATCATTTGTTATATTAAGTTGCAAATAGGTTTCTTAATTACATGGCTCTTCTCAAAATCTTCAGAGTGGCTAGTAAAATGAAAAAGATGACAGCTGGGAGAGCACTCAGGGCTGCTGTTTCAGGGACCAGAACATGCCACCTCTGAAACAATTCCTTCATTTTATGATACTGAAGTTATTGTCAGCCAGTCAATCTGCAAGTCATTTTTAGCAAATAAATTGTTTTGTGTAAATGTTTGGTATCATTAAAAAGATTTTTTTTCTGCTCCCACTCCACTGGGAGATATCATTTAACAGATAATTTATACAGCTGGAGTTGACTAGTGTGAGTTGGTTGTGGTTAAAATGTAAATAGTCAGACAAGTTAAACAGGAAAGTTAAATTAAGTCTCCATGATTGAAAAAACATACATTGTAATATACATATTAACATATATAAAGCAGTATAACTAAGATCTTTTTAAACCTTTAAGATATTTTATTTTTTTTAGAGACAGAGTCTTTCTTACTTTGTTGCCAAATTGGAGTGCAGTGAGGCTATCATAGCTCTGAGATACTTTATTAATTTTTTCCCTCTCCTCCCTTAGTTACTTTTTGAAATGGATTTCTTATATACTAGTAAATACTGATTTGATATACAGTTGGCCTTCTGGATTCATAGGTTCTGTATCCGCAGATAGAAAATATTTGAAAAAACAATGATAAAGTAACAATATGACAACAAGAAACAATACAAATGAAACAATAGACAACTGTTTCCATTATATTAGGTATTATAAGAAATCTACAGATGACTTCAAGTATATGAGAGGATGTGTATAGGTTATATGGAAATACTATATCATTTTATCTTTTTTTTTTTTTTTTTTTTTTTTTTTTTGAGATGGAGTTTTCTCTTGTTTCCCAGGCTGGCGTGCAATGGCAGTCGGCTCACGCAACCTCCACCTCCCGGGTTCAGATGAGTTCTCCCTGCTTCAGCCTTCTGAGTAGCTGAGATTACAGGAGTCCGCCACCATGACCTGCTTATTTTTAATTTTTAGGAGAGACAGGGTTTCACCATGTTGTCCAGGCTGTCTTGAACTCTTGACCTCAGGTGATCCACCACCTGAGCCTCCCAAAGTGCTGGGATTACAGGCGTGAGCCACCCCGCGCCTGGCCCATTTTTATCTTTATTTTTATTTTTGTGCAATGGCACGATCTCGGCTCACTGCAACCTCCACCTCCCAGGTTCAAGTGATTCTCCTGCTTCAGCCTTCTGAGTAGCTGAGATTACAGGAGTCCGCCACCATGACCTGCTTATTTTTAATTTTTAGGAGAGACAGGGTTTCACCATGTTGTCCAGGCTGTCTTGAACTCTTGACCTCAGGTGATCCACCACCTGAGCCTCCCAAAGTGCTGGGATTACAGGCGTGAGCCACCGCGCCTGGCCCATTTTATCTTTATTTTTATTTTTGTGGGTACATAGTATGTGTATGTATTTATGGGGTATGTGAGATATTTTAATACAGACATATAATGTGTAATGATCACATCAGGGTAAATGGGGTATCCACCTCAAGCACTTTTCCTTTCTTTGTGTTACAAACAATCCAATTATACTTTTAGTTATTTTTTAATGTACAATAAATTATTGTTGACTATTGCCATCATGTGATGCTATCAAATTCTAGGTCTTATTCATTCTAACTGTATTTTTGTATGCATTAACCATCCCTACTCTACTTCCCCCGCC